TAGCTCTGCCCTTTCTTAGTAATGCAAGCATAATTTTGTTTCATTCCTTTTCCAAAAGACTCACACACTAGTTTTTAAAAATCTCTTTCCATACTTTTTATATAATATGCAAATTCTGTCATTACAGTGTAGTGTCTGTATTTTCCCTCACCCAAATAAAACACTCTGCTGCCAAAGTAAAAAGAAAACCATAACTCCAGGTGTGACAGTGCACACCTTTGATCTCAGTTCTGGGGTGGCAGAGGCAAGCAGATCTCTCTGAGTTCCAAGCCAGCCTGGTCTACATAGCAAATTCCAGGCCAGCCAGAGCTACATAAAATGAGACCCTGTCTCAAAACAAACAAAAAAACAAGAAAACCATAAACTTAGAAAATCAAAATGTAAGAGAATCAACATTATCTGTACGTTCTAAAGCGTTTCATTTGTTGTGAGTTTACCAAGGATATCAGGTGACTTTTATTTCATTTCAGATCCAGGCAGTATGATTTTTTAGTGTTTTCGTAAGATATACAGTATCAATCTAAAAGCTCCTAAAATAGGGATAGGTATGGCCCCTTTATCATCATATCCACTACATAACATAGCAGGTTCCAAAAACCACAGGACAACATGAATGAGACATTTAAGAAAATTTAGTTATGAGAAGCTAATCCAAAATTCGATTTCGATTTCCAACTATAATAGTGAGTACTACGTACATGTCTTTGTATCATAAAAATGTTTTTAATATATGTATCCAATCAGAATAAAAACTTTTTCGTACAACCCTTAACACATCAACACAATTCTTGTCTGCTTGTTTCTTCATCTCTAAGCTCTACCAACAGGACCGAGTTGGCAGGTGCTGGACAAAGTACTACAAACTACGGACGCTACTTTCCTTTCATCAAGTTTACCCGGTGGGCAGTAACGGCTAGTGGACCGGAGGGGCCATCCCGCCCAAGTCTTCGCGCCCAGGCCGGTCCGTCGACCCAACGCTGAGCTAGTCCCGCTAGGGATTGCGAAACTCGGAGCGGCCCGGGCGGAGGGGCTCGACCTCCACGCCGACAGACGCCCGAGCCAAGCCCAGCCCGCTCCCCGACGCGGCCCTCACTTGTGGGTTTGTTGGTATAGCGGATCCATCACGCCCGCCGAACCGGCCCCGGCAGCGGCTTCCTCAGAACACGTCCTCACAGCTCCACTTCCGGCTTCAGGCTTCCGGTCTCAGGACCCAGGCGCCCTCGAGCGCGCCTGATCCACGGTCGTTGCGAGGTCCAGAAAAAGTGTAACGAGAAAGGAAAGCCTGTCGGGAGGGATGGGTGTGGCTCCAGTGCTGGTCCTCTCAGAGGGCGACCGGGAGGGTTTTTGCAGAAGCCGAGCTTCAGGATTGAGTCAGGTAATCGCGAGGACAGTCGCGGGGTAGTGACGTCAGAGCCTCGGTGCCGGACCCTGCTCTTTGCACATTTCTGCTTGTCTTGGACTTAAGCCTTGGTCTTGCAGGTCAGGGGAGTTCGCGCCTCCCGCCCTTCCCCGACTCATGCTTTTCCTGACTCGAACTTGCCCACCCGCTCGCCTTCCCATCGCTCCCTGTCCCTTTCCATGTAGAGAGTGAGTGATTAGCATGTGGCCTGGTGACGTGGGAGCAATGAGTTCCTCCTGTTCAAGAGGTTGAAGGCTAGGAAAGGAAATACGATATGTATATACATAAACATGCCAAAAGGTAGAAAAATCCCAAGAAATCCGAAGAGAATGAACGGGGCCGGAGGGCTGTCTTCGGTAGGAGATTCAAGACTTGAAAGGGGTGGCCTTGGAAAGGACTTGAACACTTATCTTCAGTTAGGCCCATCTCATTTTCATCCACTCAGGCTTTTATCTACAGCTCCTCCCAAGGGAGGAGCTGTTCCTCTTCCTTTGAGGCTTCTATTTTCCTGTATCCTGCATCCCTCCCCCTTTTAGGTCCCAAAGAGACTGTCCACCCATACTCATTCATTTCCTAACATCAAATTTCCCACTTCCTCTCATTTATTGAGCATCTTTTATGTATCATGCATAGAAACAGTAGATAGGAACACCAGCAAAATACAGTCCTCAAGTCCCCCGTGGTCTATTAGGAAGGTCCATCATATCTTGAAACTGAATTTATCAAGCAGCATTTAGGCTATCACTGATACATGGATGGTTTCTTTCGAAAGGAGCAAGAAAGGTTCATGGACCAAGAAGCATAGGAATGGGGCCTTCAAAAATCAATAGGGTTTTAACTGTCTAGCATATAATAATCACGCCACAAATGTTTCTGTTGATCTGATAGCGATAAAGGAGAGGGCAGTGGGTGGAAGGAATAACTTGAACAAAGGCAAACAGGTAGAACTTGGTTTTTCTGTGGCAGGGTTTAAGGGGACTGGAATAATAATAGTATTAGAAGGAAGGTTAGAACAAAATCATGAGGTATCTTAAGTATCAGGCTTAGGTTTTTAATTGTAAATTTTTATTTTCTAGGTTGTTGAAGGACAGCAGAGGTTGGATAGGCTTTTTTAATTTCTCAAAAGGATTTTTACATCTATGTCTTATCTTCCTTAGATTCTGCAGCATCTTTTTGAGTTGGGGAAGGCAGATAAGGAGATGAATTCCAGAAGGTCTCATCTCCTCTTTGCCTCAGTCTCTTTGACTTTTGCATGTGCTTAGACCTCTGAACAGAAGGAAATGCCACCCTTCCATCTTGCTGTACTTTTAACTTCTATGTCATTAACTTCTTTTTCTTTTGTGTCTAAACCACTTTAGACAATTTGTCTCCACTCTTGACATTCTTTGTGGATGTTTTCTTTACCTTCCAACCACTCCTTCACTCTATGATTGCTCACCCTAGTCCAGTGGTCTCCCCATAAATCATCCACCATTATGTATTCATTGAGTTTATTCTATGTGTCAAGCACAATGCAAGGGCTGGAGTACAAAGATGAGTTAGATCCCATCTTCTACAGTTCTTTAATATATTGGAATGGAACTTTGTACACAAATAGTTATAGAATACTCTGGGATGAGTGTGATGTAAAGAGATAACAGAGAAGGAATGCCTGCTCTAGTTTGGGGATTTATCAGGGCTTCAAAAAGGAAGTGATACCTGAACTGAATCCTGAAAGAAAAGCCCAATGGGAAGAAAATTCAGGAGAAGGGGACAATGTAAGCAGAAACAGAGATATACTTGCAGGAAGATGGCAAATACTTTTCTATCAGTAGAACAGAATGCACACAATAGCAAGGGAAGAGGCCAAGTTTTGTAGCCATTGCAGGATTTCACCCTTGAGAATCACATGACCAACTCTGCATTCCAGCAATGGTCAAATGGGCTGTGTGGGTTGGGGGAGAGAAATTAGATAAAGGGCTATTTTATTGGTTACTAGTATCTCACTGGTGAGGGATGCTCTGGGAAGTAAGTGGGGGGGGTCGTGTGGGGTCCCAGGTAAAATTATTGTGGACCTTGTCTGTTTAGGCCATTTGACTTAAAATTTCATTGCAAAATTTGGGGCTGGAGAGATGGCTCAATGGTTAAGAGCACTGACTGCTCTTGCAGAGGACCCGGGTTCAATTCCCAACACCCACATGGCAGCTAACAACCGTCTGTAGCTCCAGTTCCAGAGAAATCTGATGCCCTCTCTGACCTCTGTGGGCATTGCACCACAGTGGTGCACTTACATACATGCAGGTAATACATTCATACACATAAAAATTAAAAAATGATAATTTTTAAAAAAGATTACAAAATTCATGGATCCATGTGAAGAACAGTGAGAATAACTGACAGAGAAGAGGAACATCTGCATTAGTTTATTCTGCAGTAAGGGCAATGAAGATCCTTTACAATATTCATGCACCCTGAATCCTTGTTTGGGCTCAGTAGCTATATCTGCTGTTCTTTATTGTCAAATTTGCTATTTCTGGCCATCATGAGAAAAAGAGAACACACTGTTATTATGTATAATGCCATGACTCTTGAGAACCTGTTTGTGTTGGTCTCAGTAGCTCTTCTTGTCCTTCTAGTTCCTGGTGCCATTTATTTAGTGCTGGCTACATCAGTATTTATGATGCTGTGTCTCCTTCATTCCACCAGTGATTACTGGCTTCCGGGGACTCAGAGTTCCTCACTATACTTTGTTAATGATGACAGTGGTTACAAGTGTTGCCTAGAGTAGTGTATGTATTAGTTACTCTTCTCCTCACTGTGACCAAATGTCTGACAAGAAGCAACTTAAGACAGGAAAGGCTTATTTTGACTCACAGTGTGAAGAGATACAGTCCATCATGGTAGGGAAGGCATGGTGACAGGCAGCCCCATGGCGACAGGAATGTGTGACAGTTGCTTACTACATCTCAGCAGACAATAAAGCAGAAAAAGGGAAGCACGGCACTCTGTTGGTTTTTTCCCTTTTTCCCTTTTATTCAGTCTGGGACTCCAACCCATGGGATAGTGTCACCCATCTTACCCTCTCAGTTATTCCTTTCTGGAAACACCCTCATAGACACACACAAAGGTGTGCCCTACGTGTTTCTTAATGCAATCAAGTTGACAATCCAATATTCACCATCACAAATTATTCACAAAATGAATAAAAAGTCCACTATTAATTTCATAGTATTAGTGGACAACAATATACCATCCAACCATGTCTCATCTTTAATTATTTTGACCCTAATCACTGTATTCCTTGGGTGCAATATTTTTGAGTGTTGACTGCACCTCTGTCTTCCATACACTGAAACCAGTTGGCTGAAGGCAGGAGGAGGATAGGTTAGGGTAGGACTGGAAGAGAAGTCCTATTCATCCAAGGAGCATCTGGCTCTCACCTGATACAGATTAAGAGTGACCCAGGAGCTCATGAAGTCACCACACTGATCATAAGGCAGAGGGGGAACTGACTGTAGAAGCCAGTCAGCCTTAGAATGTAGTAATATCAGATGCAAATAGAGATGGCCACCTCTGGAGGACTGCCGACATATGGTGCAAGCCCTATAGGGGCAGCAGGGTGAAACAGCTGGAGGTGGAGGGGCCCACACATGGTAAGGGATGCTGCCACTCCTGCTGTTCTGGTATAATACAAACCCACAGCAGCACTGTAATCATACAGCATGGAGAAAACCATAGCACTGACCCAGAAGATGACTCAACTCCTATACTACTGGTAGCCCAGAGTCCTGAACTTCGGTATCCAATGTGATTGGGAATCACCCAAATTCAACAAGTTGGTACCATTCTAAGGCCTAATACTGTGCAGTAGCACAAAAAATACTGTGCTGACCATTAGAAGCAATCTGTTGGGGTTGCTAGGGACAACCCAATAAAGCATCAGCTCTGAAAATTTTCAGAGCGTCTGATCAACCCTATGGATAGAGTGGAGGATCAGAGAGTACCCTAAAGGTAGGCTGGAGTGATCCTAGCACTAAAGAAAGACAGACAAATTTCAAAAATTGCACTACAAAATGTATGGTCCCTGGACACTTGGCCTAGGTTATGGGCCAGGGGCCTTGCTTGCATAAAATTGTATGGTAAAATAAAGATGGTTTCCATTCCTTAATACTGCAAACATGAGAGGTAGAGTTGAGTTCCATTCTCATGAATCCTGAGCTGGCCTTGTGACATGCTTGGCCAACAGAATATGCCAGAAGTGAAGTTCTAGGATTGTGAAGGCCAGGTCATAAGGAGCCTTGCAGCTTCCACCTAGCCTTCTGCAGCTACAACCTGAGCTACAAGGAAAGAAGCCCAACTTCCTTGAGACCGTCCTGTTAGAAAGGCTGGGTGCAGGATCTCTAGTCAACCTTCCCAGCTGAGCACAGGCTTCCGGCCATTCCTACCACAGAACCAGACATGGACAAAGCTTTCTTATATCCTCTATTCCAATCAGTCTGCCAACGGGATCCTACTATGTGATCAGTATAGAGTCCACATGAAACAGAAAAACTTCTCCTCTGAGCCTCTGTCAATTGCCCAAGTTCCTGTCCCACAACACCAAGAGATGAAGTAAATTGTATGATGATGTTAAGCCACTGAATCTTTATTTTCAAGGTAGGAGGGTTTGAGACAGTATCTCAGTCTGAAGCCCAAAATGGTCTCAAACT